AGCTGTGGACACACTCCCTCAGTGCTCCCTGTTCCTGAGGCCTATGGTATTGACAACATACAGTGTATTTTGAGCTAATATTCACCAGTTTACCTATGCCTGCAGTGCCTGGCAATGTAGCTTGTTAGCACAGTCAGCATTTCCATAAACATCCAAAATGTTTGTCCTTGCTTAAAGCAAAGTCAGTATGCCAGGACCCACACCTACAGAACTAAGTGTGTCAGGTGTATGATCCCGTTGCGATAACCAGTGTTCTCTATAGGTGAGAGGGTAGGAAGGAGACAGACTTTTTCCCAAACAAACAGAGCCCTTAAGTAAATGCTCTTTAAAGTTTAAAATAACAGTCCTTTGTGTTATTCAGGCCTTTAACTTTTCAGACAGCTTTTAGTAACTTAACTGTTCTTCTTTTAATAAAACTCTCAGCCATGGGTTGTTTTATTTTGCTGTTGATTTTTTTTTTCCCTTCTCCTTCCCAAGTTAGTTAAATAAATAAGCAATTATGACGCAGCTCCCATGGCCCACAGCATTTAGCTTGTAAATGTAGGGTTTGAACAGCAGTACTTAGAGGCCAACTTGGTTTGCTTCTGCTGGCAGGAGGGCAGCAGAGCTGTTCCAAACCCAGATAGCCCTTAAAGGGCCAGGCAAGATCTCATGGACAAGCTAACTCCAGGGAGACATTTTTCTGATGCAACATAAGTATTGTCTTTTTCTTTGAATTGCCAGAGTGTAAGCTCCCAAAGGGAGGGTCTTTGTAGCCCACCCCCCAAACCTGGTGCAAACTCCTTGCACATCCTCTGCATAGCCATGTTTTCTGACAAACTGAATTTTATGAGCATTAATAATGGCCTCTTAAGTAAGTGCTTAAAGGTTTGCTGAATTATAGGTGATTTTTATTTAGTCTTAGGTTCAGAGTTCTGCGCTTTTTTTTTTTTGCCACCCCTTCCCTAATCCATCACTAATTTTAAAATGTGATTCACTTAGAAAATATTATTCCATTAATCATATTCATTTGAGAGCTAACTTTTCAGGAACCCACCTACTTCTGTAAAGTGAGAGCCACATGTAAATGTACCATTTGGTGCCAGCACTCAAATTTTCCCTGACTCAGTTGCTCCAGTAGTCTTTCAGACATCTTCCCTAAATCAGGCAGCCAAACTTGTGAGGATTACTTACTGGGTCTTGTGATTCGTCCCAGGATCCTGATAGGGATCCCAGGGTGATATAAATAGGCTGGGATTCAACAGTGGCTATTTTTATAAGCAAAGCTTTCTAAGTTGATTTCTTTGAACCCAGAATTATTTACTTCATCTAGCTTCCACCATTTTCTTCCACGACCTGGAAGATCCTTTTTTTTTTCTGCCTGCCTGCCTGCCTGTCTTTTCCCTCCCCAGCCAGCTGGTGTGTGCAGAAATTAGAAGGAAGGTATATGCCTGAGGGAGTTGCCTGAAATCTGAAATCGTATATCTTCACCGCTCCTCAGGATCATCTTTCTCTCATCCACCAGAGTATGGCACCTTCCCCGCCCCGTTAGGGGCCAGCTGCCCTGACTGAAATAGATATCCACCAGTTCCCAAGCAAGACAACTGCCTACTTTCAGACCTGAATGTGTATTTTATAATACTGTCTCTTCTTTGTCTTCGTACGTGTGCCCCTTCCCCAAGTTAAAAAACAAAAAACCCAAAAATTCCTAGAGTTACTGCCTTCTTGACTTCCCTATTCTTCCCTAAGGCAAGCCTCCCAGAAAACTTACCTCTACCCACACCCAAGGGAGCAGAGTGGGTTGCAGCTGAGACCTTCTGTGAGGATGTCTGGCCACATCAAAGGGTAGCTCCTCCCTGCCCACCTAGCACCCCAGTAAACACTCTGTCCACTGGAGGGGCTCACCTGGGAGGACGGCAGTTCCTTTACAAACTTCTCTCACATTTTCCTGCTGAAAACAGCACATTCTCCATAGAAATGAAGCTGATTCTGTTCTTTCAGTTTGTGTTACTTTGACCACACTGTCCTTGGCAGTCCTTGTAGGATTGGGGGTAGAATTGGTAGCATAACGTGTAAAGGTTTACATTGGTTAGCATAAGCCATTAGAAGCCTTTGCTCCCTGGGTGATGGGCCAGCATCTGTGGCTTGACCCATCTGGTGATCTTGCCTCTCCGAGTCCCTACCCCACCTCAGTTGACCCTGACTGCCAAAACCCCCGTTCACTTCTTGATGGCACTGGCAGTAAGAAGCCACTCACATTCACAGTTTATGAATAACACCACCCTCACCCCCAAGAACTCCAGAGGCTGCTGCTGAAATTTGGCTACAGGGACTACAAAACCAAGTCACCGCCAGGCATGGGGACACACACCACCTGTGATCCCAGCACTCAGGAGGCTAAGGCAGGAAGATCATGAGTTCAAGGGTACCCTAGGTTACATAGAAAGACCTGTCTCAAAAAAGATAGAAATCAGGTATCCAATCATGCCCATCCATGCTCTGAGCTTTGGCTGTGCCCTTGCCGAGGACTGATGTGCCATCCCAGAGTAAGCACAGTGATCAAACCAGAGAAGGGACTAAGAGTCGATGTGATTTCTGAAAGGCAGAGCAGCAGCAGGAATAAAACCAGTAGCTGCTACTTGAGGGGCATCTTCTGTGGGTCAGGCTCTGCATTTAGTGTCTCACATGAACTCTCGTTTAATCCTGACAGCTACTCTGAAGTGTTGGTACACCTGTTGTATGGGTAAGGAAAATCAGGCTCAAAAGGATGAATTGCCCCAATCTGGGGAAAGTGGTGGAATCAGGATGTGAGCCTAGCAGTAGGGCTTGAAGCCTCACATGCTCATTAGTGAAGTGAACGATTTTCCTTCCAGCTGCATGATTTTGTGAGGGAAGTATAATTTACTATAAGGTGCGTGATTGCAATTCTTGTCTTTGGGCTTCCTACTTTACCTTCCATTTTCATTTCAACAAGCAGTTTCCTATGCTGAGGCCTGTTCCCCTCTGCAGAAAGAACTTGGTGAGTTTCCCACTGGGAAGGGGAAACATGTAATCCAGCTATGCGTTCCAAGAAATGCCACCCATTCTTGTTTGTCACTCTGAGCCTCCCCACTCCAGGTATTGATCACATTAGCAAGCTAGGTGATCTGTCAAGCAGACCACTAGCTGTCACGATGACCAACACTTAGAAAGTGCTTGCTGCATTTCTGTCTGTTGTTGGCAGTGGTCTGTTGTGTGGGGGACATCTGTATCAGCTCTGCTTTTAAAGGCATTCAGCAGGTGTGAGTCAGTCGAGCCCCCGGCAAACCACATTACTAGCACAAGAAGAATTAGAAATAAAAGGCTGTAGAAAAGACAGGAAGCATTGTGACTAACTGATGTGTCTGCTTGACAATGTAGCAGTATGCACATTACTGAAGAGGATTTGGAGGGGGTGTAATGTGGGTTTGGGGATGCTGTCTTGGGAAAGAAGAATTTGCTGTGGGCACTACCATTCACAGGGGGAAAGGGACGAATGCTCCAAACGAGATACAGCCAGTGTGGTCAGGTTTTTCCAGGGCTGTGCTCTCAAGAAGATGTGATAGAAATGGAATTTTAGTTTTAATGCAAGGAAAGACGTGATAAGATGCACTACTTTTCAGAGCATTTCTGTATTAAATGAGACACGGTGCTGACCATTCTACTCAGTGTGTCATGACTGTATATTGAGAGGCAAAGTCCTAGGGGCAGCAGGGGAGTACGTGAGCTTGTGGTGGCACTTACAAAGACGTGTCTGTGAGTGCACACACACACACACACACACACACACACACACACACACTCATAGAACTGTTCATGCACACAGTCAGTTTCGCCATATGTAAACTTAAAAAATAGTTTTACTTGTGTGAGACACAAGTAAAACTAAGCTCCTTGGAGAGCTCACTGTTTAATAAGGGTTAAGACAGTAAATTGTCTTGCATGACTAAAAAAAGTCTATACAAGAGTAGTTAAGAAAAAGAATGCCCTAGTGGCTTGAAGCCAGTGTGGAATGCCCTTGGCTGCCAGAACCTAAGCCATCTTGATGGTTGAGTAGCATCTGTAGTGAGATTTTGAAGTGTGGAGCAGCCAGTATTAAAGCATGGGAGCAGATCACAGCCAGTCTCTTGCTCTTTAACTCTTGCTCTCTGCCTCTTTTGTTTTGTTTCAAAGCAAAAGGATCTCTAGTTCCTAAGAGATGTTTGTTGAGCACCAAGTTGTGCCAACCACTCTGTTGGGTGCTGGGGCCTCTGAGATGAAAAGAACATACTTCCAACTCACCCCAAGGCTGTAGAAATAGCAGATGAGCATATAAAAAGATGGTCAATGTCACATGCCATCAGGAACAGCAAATTCAAGCAACAATAAAATCCTACTACACACCTATTAGAAGGACCCAAATCCAAACTGGAGCAGCAGGAATTCCCATTCATTGCTCATGGGAATGCAAAGTGGTACAGCCACTTTGGAAGTGAGTTCAGCTTCTCACCAAACTAAATACACTCCTACAGTATGAACCAGCAGTTGCACTCCTTGGGATTTACCCAGATAAGCTAGAAACTTATGTCTACACGGACACCTGCACTTCATGTTCATAGCAGCCTTCTTCTTAACTGCCAAAATTTGGAAGCAACTAAGATGTCGTTCATCTTGGTTGGGCTAGGTGTGTGGTTCACTGGTAGCTCCTGAGCTTAGCATGGGGATTCCCAGCAACCAAAAATAAAGATATAAACTGTGGTCCATCAGGCATAGAATATTATTATTTGAAAAATGAGCTATCAGGCCATGAGATATGTAGAGAAATTTTGGGTGCATTTTACTAAGTCAAAGAAACCAAGATCCTAAGCCTGCATAAATCCAACCACATGACATTCTGGTAAAGACAAAATTATAGAGACAGTAAAAAGATCAGTGGTTACCAGAGGTTAGGAAGGAGGGAGGGATGGGTGGGCAGAGCACAAACAATTTTTATGGCACCAAATTTAAAAAAAAAAATGTCTCAGTCCTCAGGATCCCTGGTCCAGCTAGGGGGACAGACACTGCAGTGGAGGCCTACTGAGATTCTTCCTCTCAGCCCAGAGGAAGCCAGAGGGGCACTGACCAGCCCTGAAGGACTTGACTAGAGGCTTCTGAGATGAAGAGGCACCTCTAAGGTATGACAGGAAAGAGCCAGAACAAAGGGCGGGGGGAGAAGCAGGAAGAACATTCCAAGTCACAGAAATGACATGTGTACAGGTCTGGTGATGAGAGAGGAAAAGAAACCATGTGTGACTTAAAAGCAGCTCAGCAGAGGGACAGGTGTATGAAGCTGAGGCACAGGCAGGCTCTGGGTCTGTGAGGCTTCATCAGCTGTGCAAGGGCTTGGGGACTTCTCCTGGAGGACCATGGGATGGCACAGTCAGGTTCCTGCTTCAGAAAGATGGCCTCAGGAGGCTGGGGGTAGCTCAGTGCCTCAGCGTGTGCTTAGCATGCACAAGTCCCAGCACCAGACAAAAAAAAAAAAAAAAGAGAAAGGTAGAGAGAGATGGCCCCATTGTGGAGGACAAATTGCCAATTATCAGGCAGGCTCAAGGAGCCCTGGTCAGAGAGAACAGGAAGCAGGTGAGAAAGACATGCTACTACCTGAAGGGATATTAGGAAAGAATCTGCAGGCCCTGGCAATTGGTTGGATGGCAGGTGGAAGAGAGGAAAGATTCAGTGGTGCTTCCTGTGGCTCAGGTTCACAAGAGGGTAGGGAAAAGTTGCTGCAAATGGAAGAAATAAGAGATAAAGCTAAGAGGCCACCAGTGGCACATACCTGTAATCCTAGCAATTTTTGAGAGGCTGAGATCTGGAGGCCTGAGGTTCGAGGCCAGCCTGGGCAAATAGTTTACCAGACCCCATCTCCAAAGTAATCAGAGCAAAATAGACTGGAGAAATGGCTCAAGTGGTAGAGTGCTTGCTTTGCAAGCATGAAGTCCTGAGTTCAAACACCAGTCCCATAAAAAAAAAAAAAAAACAGGAAATTACAACCATGCTGTGAGGATATTGAGTGCCATTGTCAAGACTTTATCTTAAAAACCCGTCCAAGTCTAGTCTTACTGCAGATCCCTGTTAGTTGCTGCTCTTTTTTTTTTTTTTTTTTTTTTGGTGGGACTGCAATTTGAACTCAGGGCTTCACACTTGCAAAGCAGGCGCTCTACCACTTGAGCCACATCTCCAGTCCATTTTGCTCTGATTGTTTTGGAACTATTTGCCTAGGCTGGCTCTTCGAACAACATTCGTCCCCATCTAGCCTCCCAAGTAGTTAGGATTTTAGACGTGAGCCACTGGTGTGTAGGATTGCTGTTTTCTTTGACCAGAACCTGTGAATTGTTAGATCCTAGAATATTTCACAGACTTCACATTTCCAAAGTGGCCCATACCCAAACTGACAATTGTATTGCTGAAGCATATAGAAGAACTTGATGTGGGCCTAAAATTTAAGGCAGTTAAGAATAGTTTTTTCTTGGCTTTTTGATGACTGTTCCTTTAAGTATTGATCTTAAAGTGGTAAAAGCAAGCAACAAAAGAACCTTTAATTTCTCTTGACTCCAAGTTTCTCATCTGGCAAATGAAGGAAAGAGACATGTTGATTTGAAGGTTTCTTTCCAGCTCTGCAAGTCTAGTGTCATAAAATGTTTCATCAAGATGGAAAAGCACCACCACTTATGTGAATAAACACACAGCATAGCAGACCCCATATTCAGCACTGTCCCATTTTGAGTGCAACTCCAATTTACCAGATTTTCCACAGTGCAGATCCTCCAACCAGTGAGCTGTCTTTTGTTTTAAAAATATTGTAGTCTCTGAAGGTCTGACTTTATCTTTAAAAAGGGAGGAGGGGCAAAGGAAATAAAGTTCTGTGTTTACAGCCATGAATTTCCTGATGCTAAGAAAAACTAACGCCTATCCTGGGTATTAGTATCACCACTTTGGTGCTAGGGAAACAAACAGATGAGGGTGAGAGTTTCGGCCCAGAAGGGAGTCTTGCTCAGATTTCATTCTGAGGCTGTTCTTAGAGGGAACTTGAGCAATGGTGTCCTGTTCCCTTTCTCAGTGCAGGGCGACAGAACAGGTCCCAGCTCTCTGATGTCTGTGCCATTGATGTTTTTCTGTCATCATTGAAGCCGGTTAGTGAGAAGAGTTTCTATTCTACCTTAATCATCTTTCCTTCCAATCCAAATTGCCTTCACTTTCTCCCCTCCCTCTTGCAGATAAAGAGGCATGTCTTGGAGCTTCTTACAATGGAAGTAACTTGGGGCGGCATTCCTACAGCTTGAGACCAGGCTGGCCTAGCAGAAAGTAAGGAAGAGAGGGCCTAGCTGATACCCAGATGGCCACAATGAACTTGAGACTTCTGAACATATGTTCATATAACTTTCCCAAGAACCTGAGACACAGGGAAAGTTAGGCTTAGGGCTGGCAGAGTGGCTCAAGTGGTAGAGTACCTGCCTACTAAGCATGAAGCCCTGAGTTCAAACCTCATACAACTAAGAAAAATAAAAGGAAATTTCCCCCAGAGTCACAAAGCTGAAGAGTGACAGAGCTGAGATTGAAACCCAGTACAGTGAGACCCTGCCTGCCCCCTCATCAGTTCACGAGGTACTCCACCTTGGTGGATCAGTTGGGGGATTCTGGTTGGATTTCCTTACCAGCAGTATTGTAGTAGCTGGAATGTCTGAAATGCCACTCTTCTCCTTTTGTTTATTCACTCAGTAAACAAGTGGAGATGATCCCTCCACTTTCCCCAGAGGGAGGTTTTGAGGGTTAACGAGCTATAATCCACATAAAGCTTTTGGCTTATAGTTTGGCAGCAAGGACTTGCTAACAGAAGCTGTCACAACTACTGATAGTGACTGTTGCACCAGGCACAGAGCCCGATGGGCCCAGGAGGAAGCCTTGCTGGCCTGGCCCTGGGTTGCTCACAGACCTGCACTTCCAAGCCTGCCCTCTCCCCTCACAGTAGCCCTCATGCCAACCTGACCAACTTGGTCAGGAGCACCATTCTCTGGACCTTAGCCTTGGTTTTTCAGGAATGAGCTACATGTTGCGGGGAGAGGGAGGGGTCCCTCTTGAAAACGCATTTAATAATAATTTTAAAGTCAGTGTTGGGTAGGAGGCCACACCTTCTGCTACCTCACACACTCCCTGCGATTTAGTTACAAGTGGTTATGAGTCCTCAAAGGCCTGTGTTCTGGAAGCCAGTGAGCATTTTCCTGCACCAGAGGCTGCTTATTGGTGTAACAAACACAGGTACTGTTGCAGGCCACACATGGGATTTGACATTGTACCTGCTGGATTCCCACTTTCCCTTTCTGTGGTGTGGGGATAATAGTCAAAATGGCTCCCTGGCAGCATAGCTGGAAAATGGTCCCTACACAGTGCCCAACACAATAGGTGTGTATATTCCAGGTCTGTGAAGTGATAAGCAGAAGTCAGTTGCCATCAGCAACCAAGAGCTAGGACAGCACCCTGTGGAAGGATGCCGAGTTTGCCCAGTGTGCCAGCTATACATCCAAGATGCTGACATAAACCAGAGGAAACCAGGGTGTGGCTGGGACTGCACAGGAAGGGCGGCTAAGAGCAATCTCACAAAGGGTGACTCATCAACTTAGAGCTTACAGACGTACGGATGTGTGGTGGAGAAGAATGAGCGGATGCTCCAGGTCAGAGAAAGGCACACAGACTAGCAGGGCAAAGGAAGGAGCAAGCTACATGGGGGACGCCCAGATCTCTGATGCAGGAGTCTGCACCCATGTGGTCTCCTGCTGGTCTGCTGTCAGGCTGCAGTGTGGTCAGCATTGGGTGGCCATCCCAGGAAGCCTATAACAGGGAATTAGCACAAGTCCAGAAGCTCTAGGTAATGTAGATTATCCACATTTAGCAACTCTAGACTGCTACTGCTGACAACAGCTACAAAGTAGATAAAATGAGCCAGTGCCTAGTGGTGTGTACTAAACCCTTATGTCATCCATCTTCACTCCTCCCCTTTAAGGTGGCTGCCATTCTTGTCCTCATCTTGTACAAAGGGACAAGTGACTTGTTTCCCCAGGTCATCAACTAATAAGTGGCACAGCCAGAGTTCCATTTCAGATCTGCCCACCCCCAGAACCTAAGCCTTTGACCCAGCATTTCAGGGCAATTATTGGGAGGAAAAGGTATTTCACCTGCTTTCCTGTAGTTGTCTTCTGTCTGGAAACATTCCTGTTGAAGGGCACAGCCACTACAGCAGAGATGGGCCCAGCTCCTTGTTGAAGTATATGAGCTCTGACATCCTGAAGCCAGAGCCCTGTATGTTTGAAACTTCCTACTGTCTTTTGTGCTCCCTCCTTTCTCCTAAGTAAAGTAATTTGGAATGAGCCTGTGCTTGCTAGCAGACACTGGGGAATTCCTGAGTAAGCTCATGACTTTCTGATCAGGGTGATGAGCCTCCCAAGGTGCATAGTTCTGTGGGGTGACCAAGTCAGCCCCCAGGAGTTGGGCAAAGCCACTGAGACACTCCTCCTGGGAGAAGCTACACAGAGCTGAGAAGAGCTTGGAACAGGAGTGACAGACATAATTATTCATGAAATTTAGGCTCAATTCCTAATGCTTATTTATATCCAAATGATGTACCAAACTTTAAAAGCTTTTTAGTGGGCCATTCCACATGGGGGTGGATAATCAAATAACTGCAGGCTTCAGACCAGCCTATAGAATGCTCATTGTTTGTGCCCTACCCAGGCCTGGGCTATGGGAACCTGTGGCTGTATGCAGACAGTGAGCCTGCATGCTGTTTGTGTTCAGTTGTTGGAAGGCTCCTTTTCACAGATCACTTCAAGGCTCTGGATAGACTCAATCAGGTCTGAGGTTCAGTCTCAGTTTTCTAGCAGCCAGTCATGAGGCCTCTGGCCTGTTGCTGATGCTCTCCACTGTTTCTTCATCTGGAAAATGAGCATGATGATCCCTGCTGTGGCTCTTTTGAGGGGTGAGATAATGTCTGTGATGGTATCCTGTAAAGTACCTTGCAAACAGTGGTGAAGTGGTTAGCAAGGTATAGAAATACTGGTTTGGGTGCTTGTAGTGCAGTCCAGCCCAAATTATTCCTAAGAACACCACAAGTTTCGGGTCTCAATCAGAAGTTGTAGTAATT